AGGAAAACAATCAAGCCAGACACTTTGGAGTCATTGCAATCATGCAAATACAGCTCAGCCCTCTTGAGACCAACTTTCTTATTGGATACCAAATTTTAAAGACATCCCCAATAAAACAGAAGGAATGTTATCCATTGTATCATCACAAATATTTGTTTTGCTTTACACTTCCCTTTTCAAGGTTTTCCTATTGAAAAAGTTAAAAGGTTTAGTTTCTCCAGCAATACTTTTGAATACTACAAATTTTTCAGAAAAAAAAAAAATTCTATGGGTTTTTTTTCTTTGAGGGCATGGGTTTTGGTTTGTTGGGGTTTTTTTGAGTAAAATAAATCCATCTTCCACAGCATATCCAACTTCATCTGCACTCTGATCTCTATTAGATACTCTCATGCCTAGCATTGTTAGCATTAAAGAAGAAAGTACATCCTCAAAGTAGCAACAGAGAATGAGAAACAAGATTACACTTTTTATTTCTGCATCTGTTGTTGACATGGATCTAAGCTAAAGACAAAGTCAGTTTTACTCTTCAGGAAACAGCTTCTCCATATGAATACCAGGAGAGAATAACTCCATCTGTTTTGCAATTACTTAATTAGTTACCATCCATTAATGGCTTTACAATCCCTGCAGAGATGATGCAGCAGAACAGTACAGACTCATACCATCTTCAGTAAGTCATTTAAGCATATACCTTGTGATCAATGTGTAAGTAGTATTAAGTGAGACTTGAAACAAAAGGCTAAGAGTTTTGCCGAATTAGAGCACTACATGAAGTATCCAATTACTACACAAGCTTTGGAAAAAATTTGCACCACTAAAGCTAATTGCTTCCATTAGATACAATCTGATACCTTAACACATCTGGCTCAATAGCCTGTGATGCAAGCTTCTCAAACACTCTAGTGAGGGGCAGATGCAGTGGATGGCTCTCATTGCGGAAGGCATCCTGACAGGAAGTTATGATGGTGCTTAGCAAGCCAGATCCACACATCACCTGGCGACTCTTCTCTGACTTCACCAGGGTCTGGATATGATCAACCACAGCACATTGGATTTCCTGTGAAAGCTGAAATGGACACAGAACTGAAGTCAGTGGGTTGGAACTAAAACTGTACGTAGTGATTGATTTTATTTTTTCCAGTTGTCAAATCTCTGGGCGTAAAAATCTGGCCCAGAAAAGATGCCTCTAAAGCCACAGGCTTGAGTGCAACTGCATGGCTGTTCTATAAAGCTCTGCACTTGAACAGTGTGTGTAGCTGCTTGGCCATCTACTGCTGAGCTTTCCTGCCACAACACTATGGTAGTGAAGGAAGAGAACAATCAGCTCTCATTCAATAGAAGGAACTACCACCAAGGGCACGTTATTAGGCAAAAGCTCCAATACCAACACATAACTCAGAATATATTTAACATTAAGCATACGAAGAGTCACACTGACATAATCTACTCTTTGTGCTAAAAACATTGCTCTTAAACAAAACCGTATCTAGCAATATCATGAAACACATTTAATTTTAGACACTTCTCTACGTTTTGATGAATTGAAGCTTTACTTTGTTGTTGCTTCTTAATTGTCTTTTAAAAGTATCTCAATTCTCACAAATTATCTTTAGAGCAATTTGTTCCCAATTAGGAATGGAACCTACCCCATTAACCTAACTCGATTTCACACAAAAATAACTGTGCATCATATATTTAAACATAAATCTTACAAAGATGAAATGTTCCCCACCCCCAAGAGCCCTTTGGCTTTCTCATATGCTCTTCTAGGAAACATCTATGCAAACTTTTAAAGAAAAGGAAAACAATGGTGGCAGACGCAGACTAGGACATTGGGATTTATTTTATAAGATGCATGAGAAGCAACTTCACTGGATTCAGAATAAGATAGCATATTAAGTATCAAGAAGAATTCCACTCTTTTGCATCCAGACCAAAAGCAGTACCAGAAGAGGATAAATTTAAAGCCAACAAGCAATTTGTTTTCAAAGTGCTCATCAACTAAAAGCCCCAGTTGCAACACCTAGACAGTAATACTAGTATATCCACTGAAACATACGTATCCTTTTTGTAACCTCAACTACTATTTTTTATGTCTGAAAGGTAAGGTTTTTTTGTAACTTTTCTTCTCTCTGAAGGACTGTTCATTCCCAAGTTTCACTGTGCATCTCATTATATACAGAAATCATCCACCGGACTAAACTACACCATTCTTCACAGAGAGGCACTTATTGCTACAGGGTATAAAAGCCTCATTTACAACTTCTTTGATTTTTTAATTACTATTTCACTCCATTTTTGACCAGATGCAGGAAAGTGTCTGGATGTATAAAACTGCATGTAAACAGAAAAGGATACAGGTCTTGACTAAATGAACCTACTGGTTTACTCCAAAATAAATCCAATAAAAGCATAATGGCATACAAAAAAATTGATTGTTTTCATTAGCTTAGCAGCCTTGTCAATACCAGTATTGCCTTGTTTTGAATAAAATGTGCTGTTTTCATGGATCTTAGTTCCAGTAAAATGAGATTTTAGTGGAAATGTTAATGGTGGCCAGGAAACCAGGCTGTGTGTTTCTATATGCATGGATTGATTTTCCTAACACATATTACTTGCACCATGAAACAGGATATTGAAGGTGCAGTTAGAATGTAGTTGGGCTCCCAGCTCTGCTTCAGGTTAGAGTCTTAAGGGCAAAATGTCACCTAGCAATTTGTCCAATCTGTTTAAGTAGTTCCCAGATTCTTGCTCCTAAGAGCTCATAGTTTCAAAACTTGGGAGCTGAATTTAATTCACTGTTATTTATTTTCAAAATGGTTATGCTATGTTTAAGATGAGCAAAAAAGTTGAACCTTTGGCAGGGTGGGTTCAGTTCAAAAGGATGCAATTTTCTTAGGCTTAAGAAAGATACAGCAATAATTCTGTGTGCAATTGCAAAAAGCAAACTTACTTTTCAGTCTCAGAAGCACCTCTCACTTGAAAAGCTAGCAGCCCTTCATAGAAAATTAGAATCAACTTCCTAACATACCAAAGAGATTCAGTTTCACTAATGAAGAGGTCAAGGCATAGAACGTAGCACTTTCAAAGTTCCAGGTGACCCAAGATCTCAAACTGTGCTTTCAAAAGTAAAAGGCAGACATCCATCAGCTTAAAGCCCATTGTCTGTAGAGAGTTTGAGTCACTTCTGAAAATTGTCTCTGTAATTTTTTTTCCTTAAAATGTTATAAAAAAGTAAATAATTCATAAATTTATCTCAGCTCAAATTCCTGAAGCACAGTTCTCAGCTGCAAGAACATCCCCATTCTGTCACAACATTTTGGTGATTAACTCTCACCCACTGACCTTACCAAGCAAAACCTGCTCTGCTGGCAGTATGTATAACTGGCTTTACAAAGTTACAGAATAACTTCTGTTCATGCGCTCCTTGCAAGTAGACAGGAGAAAAAGCACTGTGAACTGCATGAACTGAACTGCTTCTACTTTTCCAAAAACATGACCTAGGTAGGGCCTAATTAAATGCTTCACATCAATTATATCATCAGGCTTTTCATATTTCCCCTTCATACAGCTCATATGTAACAGAAGCTACAAAGTTTTCCTCATATGAATACTACTGCCTTCTAGAGAAAATACAGTAGCAAGCCTTGACCCTTTGAAGCCAGGCAACAAAATTTCTTTGTAATGTTAAGAATATTTTAGTTGGTTCTGGTAGTCGGACAGAACTCTTGCTCATCGAATTACACTTAGCTGCAGTAGTTTTTTTTTCCCCCATAGTATTAGCTGAATGCAGCGTCTCCTTCTCATTTTTCTAAGTTACTGTGCAGTGCTATATTATGATGTTCATCAGACACCTGAGAGGAAGACAAAGCTGTCTCTGTGTGCTCCCTATAAATGATACAACTGCATGAAAAACAAGACAAAAGAGAAAATTATCTTCATTACAGTTAGCCAAGGATTTTTGTCAGAGTTCCTATCTCTTTAATCCAGGGTACATTACCAAGATTTTAGTGCAACTTCAGAGATACCAGATCCTTTTTAAAGAGAAAGTGAATAGCAAGAGAAACAGGACAAATAAAAGGGCAGGCTGTGGGGTTGGAAGCACAGGAGTAAAATTGCTTGGTCTGTATAAACAGTGAAAGCTTCAGAAGTTGTTTGATCAATGAACAAGCAAACTTCTTACTAAAAGGCCAAAAATAACCTTGGAAAAGAACATGCAGACAGGCTGTGCATTTTCTTTTTTTTAAAAAAGAAAAAAGTTGTGCTGTAATCAGAACAGGCTCAGCAAAGAAAAATCCCCCAGGAGACAAGGCTAGAGCAAAGCCTGCATGAAAGTGCTCAGGGGAAAGAGCCAACCTTCAGCTAGCAGCCCATGCTGGAGGACTTACTCTCAGGTTGTTCCTAGTCTCCTTCCTCCTACCAGAGTTCTTGTCCAGTCTCCTTTCCCTTCTCCCAAAGCCTTGGCTGCACAATACAAAGGGGAATGAATCTCTGGACAAATACCCAAATAATTTCCTTGTGCAGATAATGCAGTGCAGTAATTTAGGAATTCACTGCGATATTACAGTTACATGAGCAGTGATATGAGTATACATCTGAAGGCAGACAAATCTCAAATGTCACACAGTTTTCTGTGGGCCATATCTATGTCAGAGATCTTCTCAGTTTAGAAAGACTTTACGTTTTTAAGAAGTACAAATACTTGCAAAGTGTTATGTTGTTAAAATTTGCAGCGAGAACAACAAGTTCAGGCTAAATTTAAAACAGAGATAAAAAACCAGGTCATCTAAAAAGGCGCAAAGTCCTTATTGATGGACAACGTTTTAGTTTTACAATGGAATATAACAGCAGTTCATAATAGGGGAGACATGGATAAAAATAGAGAGGACAAATCCAGCTGTGGAAGCAAAAATATTATTTAACAAAAGTAGAGATAATTTATATAATGAATCATGTGATTACTTTTTTATCTGTCCTCAAAATAAACCTGCCAGGATGATGACACAGAACTGAATCATGCTTCAATTCTCTACTCAAAAGTTCTTTTCTTTCCCTTATCCAGCCTTGTCAGATCTAGGAGATCTTATCTGACATCACAGAAGAGCTCTGGTATGACACTCTGGAGCCTTAAAAGCCACAGTTCCAAAACGGCAGACAAGGATGAGATATGCCTGAGGGGAAGTTGCGAATATCCTGAACCAGATAACTAAGGTGGATTTTAACCTGTCTCACTTGCCCTTAGTTTTTGAAACACATGACAATGCTATCTTTATCAGTGAACAGGCAGCGTATTAATAAAAGGAAAATCCACCTTGTATTTAGCCAAACTGTGTGAAGTTTGATGGGAACTGGCTTAGTAACAATCCTAGGCATGAACATAAGCAATATCCTCTAAAGACAGTTTACTAACTCAAGGACTGTCTCTTGGGGGGTTTTAAGGCTTTTAAGCAAATTTTCATACCCATACGACATTCAAATTATTTTTAATCATACCTAGGAATGGTGGTAATATATAACCACACATCCATTCTCCTTAGCTTTTAATTGTCATTCTAGACAGTCAGAAGATATGGCTGAAGTGCAATACCACTCGTTTTACTGTCTGCTACCATTTTTTTTTATGCTGACAGGCTCAACATCGCTTCAGCCCATCACTGCTTGGGTCTGACAAAGGTCACTGAGAAGCAGCAAATTTGGCAGGAAATGGATATCAACTCTGAGGGTCAGAATCAAAGTACATTAATTGTATTGAATTCCATTACTGTTTCTGTAAAAGCAGTACTTTCTCATTGCCATTTCTGTGAAAGCAAAGGATTTGCGCATGACCTGAATGGATTCAAAAGATTTTTCCAGATTATTCCTAAACACCTGGGTGTAAAATATCCATCACAGCGCTAAAACAAGCAGGAACAGATGAGTTCTTCACCATCGCTCCTAAAAAATGTACTATTTGACTCAGTCTTAAACTCAGAACAAGTCCCTTCAGATTTTTGAATTAAAGTTTGCAGTAAAAAAGCTCCATCCACACAAATTATTTCATCTCTCATATAGCTGTCAAACACTTTTGCACTAAAAGAAAGAATAATACCCTGTTTGGGACAGAATATACCTGTTCAAAGGGAAATTACTTCAGGTATTTTCCTTCTACCAGTTAGCTCCCCTTCACTAGCCATTGAGGTCTTACCTTTTGCATCAGATCTTGCCTGACTCACATGCTCCAAGTAGCACCTCATTGCACAAGGGTTCATGCAGTGATGTATGTTATGACTAAAGGTACTAAAGTCTAGCCTTTTGTGTCACTACCTGGCAGCATCAGTGAGCTGCCCAAGCTATGGGACATGAGGTTCCATTCATTCTCTCACACACTTTGAAACAGAATTAGCCAGAAAATATCTGGTTTTTCTCTATCCTTTTTTGTGGGTCATTTGACGAAAAACTCTTCAGGACAAGTGTTAACTCCTAGCTGGAGTCTGCCTCAGGACCCGGCATAACAGTGGTCCCATTTTACGTGAGGCAATCCTATTCACAACAGCAATCCTAACCAAACACTATCAGTAAGAATTTCTTATCGACTAAGAAAAAAGGAGTAAGAAAGCAAGAAAAGGTGAACGCACTCAAATACATAACTGAACTACTGGAATTTGTGCTCTAGACCTTCATATTTTTAAGAACACTGCCATCTACTGACGGTATGAGAGACTTTCTCATATAGCTCAGCAGTACAGCCAACTCCAATAGTTTCTTGATGACACTCTCATCCAATTAAACATTAAACTTGTTTTTCGGAAATTAATTACTGTAATTAACAAAACTTCACTAGCTCCTGGCTTGCTTCCCCTACACAAAGTTTTGATGTGCCAGCAGTTAGTTGCACTCCCACCTTTCATAGCTCTGGATGAATAATCTGGTTTTATTTCCGTATGTACTTTGACCGTATTCAAGTATTTTAGACCAGACGGTAGATACAATATAGGCAATATATTTGTTCAGAGTGGGCATGTGTACGGAAGGTTTGACAAAGGAAAGCAGATTCTAAGCTGCATTGAAAGTTTATGGACTGTTAGGCCTAAAGAGACAGACTGTTCTGGTTGCTAGGTCCATTAGCGACATTTTAAACAATTTTAAAGGGACTTCTACAGTAAACCTTTGCAGTAATTATCCTGGTATCAAGACCCATGCACTGCATCAGAGAGATATAGAAATGCTTAGTCAAACTGACAGACAAGAGCCTTTCATAGAATCATAGAACAGTTTGGGTTGGAAGGGACCTAAAAGATCAACAGGGACACCCTCCACTAGACCAGGTTGCTCAAAGCCTCATCCAGCCTGGCCTTGAACACCTCCAGGGATGGGGCATCCACAGCTTCCCTGGGCAACCTGTTCCAGTGTCTCACCACCCTCACAGTAAAAAATGTCTTCCTAACATCTAACATAATATACCCTATTTCAGCTTAAAACCATTACCCCTTGTCGTCTCACTACACTCTCTGTTAAAGAGTGCCTCCCCATCTCTCCTGTAGGCTCCCATGTGAAGGCTGCTGTAAGGTCCTCCCAGAGCCTTCTCTTCTCCAGGCTAAACAACCTCAATTCTCTCAGCCTGTCCTAATAGGGGAGGTGCTCCAGCCCTCTGACCATCTCTGTGGCCCTCTGAACTCACTCGAACACGTTCATGTCTTTCCTGCACTGACAGGAATGCTGTTCTTCTATCTGATGACTCAGTGAAATTTGCACTGTTCCTCCTGACAGTGTTCTAGGTAAATTTTAGTACTTCCACACCTGCAAAGAGTAAACGATTCTTAGCAATGACACTACACAAAAGTAGTGGATACTATTTAGATGGCACTTTGATACGTTCAGACTCACCTGAGAGTGCCCCTCTTTGTACAGCTTTGGCAGCAACCTCACCATAACACAGACAGCACCTGGATGTACAATGGCACAGTCTCCCACTTCCCACCTACGGGAAAAAGATGCGTAAGACTTACCATAATTATCAGCAGCAAAGAGGGTCCAACAGTGTTAGACAGAGTACAGTATTAAATCCTTCTAGCAGTAACTAGGTTCAGCATTTGAAACTAAGTAAACAACCCAGATGACCTGGAACAGCTGGAAGCCTCCTTAGAGTAACAAAGACAGGATATAACCTGCTCATGAGCTCACATCTCAGGGACCTGCATATTCAAAGACACGCAGCATGGAGAACAGACAACCAGAGGGATCTCTCTGATGCATCAGCCCAGAACTAGTGTTATATTTTCTATTTTCAAGCAGTTTGTAACTTTGGGCAGACAATAACTTCAGTACAGCATAACTGCAATAAGCAAAGATAAGACAGTCTTGATGAAATCAGCAGGTCACCCTTCCCTTCCAACACCTGAATCTGTCTAAACTAGTAAGAGAAAGTTAAATATCTATGCTTCCCCACCAGTTTTCATTTTTGCAACATTTTGTATCACCTTTGTACATTCAGGCACAGGAAGGAACTGAGGCATCAGTTATGACAGAGAAGATCTGCTTATGCCATGATGCATGCTAAAGGTCTGATATATCTCAAAGACAAAGCCACAGCATAGCAGTGACTCTAGCTCAGGCTCGTCATGTTCAGAGTACAGTCAGCATTTCTGGGTGCACCACTGAACTGGAATTGTGATGTGCACTGTCAGAAACATCTGTCCCAAATAGATCTCACGAGAAAAGGCAACATCTAACAGCCATAATTAGACTGAAAAAATAAAGCACAATATGCTTTATGGACTGTACAAAACAAAGGGTACAAGTAAAAGAGTGAGCATAAAAAAAGCTTTTACAAAGGACCTAAAGGATGGTTAAAAGGCTGTAATCAACATGTTAGCCACTTCCCAAAAGGCTCACCTGATACATCAGAGCAGCGAGTAATGTGTAGCACACTGCCACACAGTGACAAATCATTCTTACTGCACCCTCAAGAAAGATAACTTTCTAAGAAATTGCTAATTTGAAATATTTTCTGTGCAATTAATTAAAATCAGATCTGGTATAAATACTTACCGCAGCAATGGCTCTAGTGTGAATACATACGCACTTGACATAAATGCAGATGAGTTTTCAAATGCCAGACAAGAAAAAAGTACACATTGAAAATAGCCATCCTCCCATTTCCCCTCAAAAAACCTCACCACTTTTAAAGAGAGAAATCCAGGCCTACTAGAACCAACAGGATTGAAATGTCTGTTTTCCTGCTGTGGCTGTGCTCCCCAGAGCAAGTTAATTTTTAGCCTAAGACACTGTATTCAAGGACCAACTTCACAAACCTTAAATTCAGTTCAAACTTTCATCTCTAGCACTGTAAAAACACATTGCCAGGCAGTGTGTCCAGTTCTCCTAACACACAGCAGTCTTCCTAAAGACTTGAGTACTGAAGAAATATGGCTACCTACCAACCTCAAAATTTTTCTTTCATATAGAGAATTTTTTTTTGTAACCTATATGTATAGTAAAAGTAAAATGTGAGTTGACAAAATGTGAATATCAGAAGACAGTAATAGAAAGTGATCCTTTAAAAAATAAATAAAATCATGAAATGGCTAAGACGTTGCCATAACTGTAAGGAGTTTTCTTATCTCTGAGCACTGCCTGACAGGTTTAGCACTTTCCAGGACTGTTAAGAAGGAAGAACAAATAAGGAAAATCCAGAGTCCCTGATCAGGATTGAACTACATCTCAGCTTCCCTGTCAGCACTGGACACTTGCTCCCCCTTCTAAGAACATTATATAAGTCCTATCTCCAGCCTTCTCTGTGGTTTTCCAAGAAGACCCTATTTTCTGGCTTGTCTTATAAGTACAGAAGCTGTACCAACTTCCTCACTCCTGCAAATATCCCATCTCTCGCACTTCTGCCTCGGGGCTAGCCAGTCAGCCCCATGATTCCACTTCATCTGCCCCACCAGTATCATGTTGTGAATCCCAAATCTGCTCTGCACTGGCTGCTACTTAAAAATAAGACAAATACAAGGGTTTGGGGACAAAATGAGATGCCACAAAGAACCTGAAGAGCCATAAGCACAGTGAGTCTGTGGTACAAGCAGCTGCAGCAGCCATTCTGCTAGGGTGGGCATGAAGAGGGGCTTCCCTCCCAAAGAGAGATCAGCCTCAGTTAACACAGGTTGCAGCAAGCTAACTCTAATCACCAGGACCAAAAGCAAAAAGAGACCCCGTCTGTCACAGATGGCATTTCAAACATTAATGCAAGAGCAGGAACACTGAGGGCTGTTTTTCAGATGGGAATGAGAGGGTCGATTCCCCTGTGGGCCAGCAGCTTACAGCATCATTGACCACAGGACAGTGTAAGGAGCTAGAATATTATCCCATTAAAACACTTATTTTCCTGTCTCTCAGTCACAGGCTCCCACAGAGATCACCTCCATTCCCCCTCTTCAGGGATGTTAAATACATATTGCCAGACGGGGCATCACAGACCACCTACACGGACTCGCACTCAAGTTCCTCCTTTCAAGCTGCATAGCCCCAGGCTGAAGCCTTCTTCAGAAGGGAAGTGTGAGCATGGAGTACAGCTAAGAGGAAGATGCGTCAGAAGAACCACAGGCTGCAGGATCTCTGGAAAAGGATACAGGCTGTGTGGCCTGAAGATTGACAGCTTGCCAGTAAATGTTCCTCTGCTGTGTTTGTGTACAATACTCCTGGACACTCTCCAGCCACCTCTAGCTAATCCAGCTTCCTTTTGTGCCTTCACATCCCAGAACCAAAGCCAAACTGTCCCAAACCAGACACTGTGAACTGAGTAGATCCCAATTCACATTATTAAGTTCTGCACAAGTGGAGTTACTGCACAGCCTCACAGCTCAGCAGGCAAAACAATAAAAGGACTTAGGACGCCTTGCTTTATGTTTCAGATCTACTAACATGAGAAGACAGAGCCATACCCTTCCCAGCATCACCACTGATCTACTTTTTCTCCCTTATTTTCTCTGAGCTTCCCTTATACACACACTTAAGCTACAGGCTATGGACTTTTCACAATGCCCACCACCATCTATAGCCTCTTCGCATGTTGACCCACGTTCTCCCAAATGGGGTGAGGAAGATCTACTTTGAAAAGAGTTTTCATTCCTCCTGAGCCACCAAGTCCTCTCCCCAGCACTGAGTATCTAACCAGAAGCTTACAATGTAATTCCAAGAGTAGTGATAGGGAGCAAATATCTCCATGATTAAAATCAGATGTACAAGTAGCAAAGGCAGCTACTGCAGGTTTTTCTAGTTGCTTCAAACAAGCAGAAGTATGACCAGAAACACTTAGTCTGCTTCAGGGAACAAAAGTTCTGCTGACTTCAGTGACTGCTAGCTATGAGTGGCAGACCTAGTGACTTAGTCTCTAAACCTGGAAGGTGACTGTGGAATAACCTGCAATAAAGGCTGAAGAAATCTCACAGTAATAAACTTAGCCTTTTTAAGCATAACTCCAACCGGAAACGTTTTTGAGAAAAGGAGAGAGATCCAAGACAAAGCTACAGATAAATGAGGGGGCAGAAAATCTCACAAGTTACAAAATGCAAATTATTCAGAATTGATTCACAGGTGACAGCTACATTGATTTCTGGTGTAGTCTTTCCTTCCTGCAAAGGATACATATTTTTATATAATCCTTCATTATATGAGGCAGGCAGCATTACTATTCCTTTTCCAATTTTCTATATTTCAGCTGTGAGTAAATGAGTGAGAGTGTGTGTGTCCACACACATGTGCCTGGACACATATATATGGGGGAGCACTTAAGATAACTTAAAATTGCTTTTATTTTTAATGTATCAGGTGACTGGAAACAGCTTTCCACATAATTGAAAAAGTCTGAATTGATTGGGGCAGATTCAAGCAGAGACTAAATGCAAGCTTCAAGTCCCAGCAACCCTTTCCCTAGAGCCCAGTCCTGCTCCTACGTTGCATGCGTCAGAACCTTCAGCACAAACTCAGCAACTCTCAGGGCTGTGTGTTCCACTGCTCCACTGAATACTTATGCCCCAAAGTTTACCATCATTCACGTTACAAAAAGAGGTGATTTCTGCTCTCTGGAGGCCTGGAAGTTGGGACTGTGGCACTGATTTGCTTGTTCTAGGCAGGTTATGTCACACCTTATCTCAGTTTACTACCATCTAAAATGCAAACAACAGTCTTACTATTATATTTCCTCTAGTAAATACTCACTTCTGTTCAGGGTCTCCCCATAGCCTATAGGCAGACGCAGGTAATTTGTTGCTTGGTCTGTTGAAAGCAACAGGGTGCTCTTCTTGAGCCTGGAGTCCCTCCTGATCATCTCTTAATGCCTCTCCCATCTCTGGCTTTCTCTCCTTGCGGTAGCTCTCCAAATGGAGGGTTCCTTTGATCATGTGATCAAGAAAATTCAGAATCTTTATGCAGTTCTTTAGCCACATTGGGAAAGGTTCTGAAGAGCATAAAGCCACATCCAAGAATTCTGCAAAAGTCCTTGTCTTCTCAAGGCTCAGAGGGATTTGCCATTCCCCTTTTGTCCAGAAGCATCCAAGTGTCCCAAGGTCCTCTGCCATCTTTTCAAAGAGACCACTCCTCTGGAAGAAGTTGCTGTTGACAGGGTCCAGGTGCAGGGCTGCTGTTATCCCCTGAAGCGTGTAGAAAACAAGCTCCAATATGCAGTTCTGTCCAACTGCTGCCCACAGCCCAGACGGAGGGTCCTGCAATGCACCTTCCATGTCTGAGAGAAGGGACAGGAGTCCATTGAATCCACTGCAGGTTCTGAAAGCTGAATGGCTCTTGGGACTCTCCAGTACCCTCAGGAGTGACTACAAACATTGGGAAGAAAGGAGACAAAAGAAGCACTTAAATCAAGGGACAAAGCAGCTTTAGAATATTTTAAAATTCCAATTTTTAACCAAAATTCTTTAACTGATTTTGCTCCTTACAGAAAAAAAAGTTGGTCAAAGAAAAAGTCAACGCTGCACAACTTTTCTCTTCTTCCCTTCCCCCATATACCCAATTATTCAAACAACCAAGATTTGAATGCACCCTCAGGAGCAACCCATGGAGTCAGCCTGACAGGTAGGAAATAGAGCTCACAGGAGTATGTAAATAAATCAAATTTCCTGCATTACATATGATAGACAGTTTGGCCAGAGGTACCATTTCAGACCTTTGGCTATTCTTTCAACAGCCATCTCAGACTCTCAAGAAATCTGCCTTTGCCTTAAATAAATGAAAGCAGAGATGCAATTGTAAATAACCTCACAGGAAAACTGAGAAGGTGGTGTATCTCTCTATAGGTAAGTCTTCCTACAGCCCTGAATACCCATGAGGAGCCACACTAGACTTTTGCTCATATGACTGAGCAGACCCTTTCCGAAAAAGCAGTAACACAGGATGTTCCAAAGAATACTGCAAGCAGCAGGCTCCTCATTAAAAAAGGCAATAATAATTCCCTTTCTCAGCAGAGGTATTTTTAAAGCTTGCACAACACCTTGGAGGAAAAAAGACATGAAGAGTCAGATCCCAAGATAACAAAGTCATTATATTTTCTCTAGCTTCAATGGACTTAAAGCAGGTTATAAGTGAATGCCACTTGACAATATTAACCATGCATAAAAACCAGCCTATACGACTTGTAAACTTTGAATGCTATGGGATTGGCATTTTAAAACAAATCTAGAAAAGTTATTAAGAGTTGTAGTAGGGGAAGTAGAATTAGTGGGGAAAAAAAAGAGATTGCAAGGAAACAGTTTACTGTACTTGAATGTAATCCATCCCAGGTTTTTGGGATGTTGCACAATTAATTTTGTAAACATCCTCTTCCAGGCACCAGGGACCTTTCAAATTTGAGGCTGCACCTTTTCACACTGGAAAGGGCTAATTTTACATACAAAGTTTCCCAACAGATATCCAATGAAAGATGTTCACTTCACAACCTGCTGAAAAGGAACAGTTTCTAAAGTAAATATATCTCCCTCTAACAGGATCTACGACAGTGAGAAAGGGTTGCTGGAACTGGAGGGGGAGGGGGAACTCTACTACTGTCATTCAATTTTGTATGATAATGTATCAAACCAGGCAGAGACTTCTGAACAGGGAGTAAATTTAATAACTCAGATCTGAAGTTATCAGGATGGCTTTAACACATTTCAGAGAAGGTCAACAGTAACCACATTTCCTCCAGCTCTAACTCGGTTAGAATTTAATAGCCTATGAGTTAGTATTGCTCTGTCTTGAATCTATAAAACTGATGTCTGCTAGAAAACCCATAACTCAGTTAACGTTAACAGAATTTATTTCACATTCCATTATTTGTTATTCCTCATAATTGTTCATGTGCCACGCTGGAATACAGCAGTGCTAATTGCATTTGGGCTCAGGCTTTAACAGCTAAATATATATTAGCAAATCAATCTGAATTTGAGTGTAACACAATCACAGTCCCAGCAGATGTAGATAATAAATTCACTTGGTTACATTATATTTTAATATAGTTATCATTTGTCAAAATTAGACAGTGAAGCTGCATTTGTTTTCATATTAGTTTGGACACCATACTCAACTTTTTCACAACTATTGTTAAAGTTTATTGTTTCAAATCAAAGATATAAACTTTGTCACATTTTTGGTTTCTTAAAGTAATACATTCTTTTATCACAGAAGCAGCTGCTATATTATGCGGAAAGGTGAATTGAGTTCACACTTGATAGATAAGGTAGAATGAAACTTTACATCAGTGCTTACAACACTGCTGCTTTTCAATGTGATGCCTATGATCTAAACCAAATAAAACATACTGATTCTTTCCCCTGCTTCATTGCCTATGGATCAGACCCTCTGTAAACACAATAGAGGCCATGAACAGTAACAATTTATTTCTCCAAACATTCACACGACTGCTCCTGTCCATCATCTCACATGTCTTTTCCCATGACACTGGTGTATGTGAGCGGTAACAAAATTAAGGATAGCAGTTTCAATGTTGGAAATTTATCAGAATCAAGCTGTTCATCTCATGGCTATCCTGCCCCTTTCAATCTTACTCCTTTTCCTGTTCTCACATCCTCCCCTGCACATCTCCTCCACTTTCATTTACATTTGTCTCTCCCTTCTCTGTCACATTACATAGACCTGCTCATTCAACTGTGCCCTTTGCCATTTCAATTTCTGCATCTTGCCTTATTATTTCAGTCTCCAAAACACTTCACAATCTGATATTGAGTAATACAGACACTGGTAAAAATCAAAGTGCCAAATCTACCAGAATAAAAAACTGGCTCATGGCTCCTTTTCTTCTGCATTTACCTTCTTGGAAAAAAACACAGTGCTAGGGGTGAGAGTAAGAGCAATTTGCCACAAGTTTCCAAGAAACCAACAACTAAGTGGGAAGCTACATTAACTACCTTTAGCAGATCTAGTTTCAGATGCAGTTCCCCTTGAGTAGAAGAACAGAGGGCCCCAATAATAATGCTCATATATTCTTCATAGTTGATAACTGATAGCTGCTCCAAGATGCTGAGAGTAGCACTCCTGTAGCACTCATCATCCAAAAATATCTTGATATATGGCACCATTCCGTAGTCCTTCAGAACAACTGGGGAAAAATACAGTATCATTTGTTACTTAAACTATCCTTTATTTGTAGTTTTAACAGGCAGATTTTCAGTGTTGGTGTGAAGTGCCACATTTCTGCAAATACAGCAAGAGAGGCAAGAAGAGCTGGTTAAGCTAAGGACAACCCAAACTGGACAGCCCAAGAACAACTAGGCATAAAATGACTGTATGACTATGGTTTCTAACCACCAGACATGACAGCTTCACAATACAATAATGAATGAAAACGAAAATATGCCTTATCAGTTTTCAGCTTAAACATCTCTTTAGTTTATTAAGGGTGCTGTTTCATAGTTCTTGACAATATTTTTGCACTGTGTAAGATGCTGCAAACATGATGATTCTAGGATTCAAAAGTGAATTGAGTGGATTCCAATATTCAGAAGAGTTCACTTCTGTATTACTATGTTCCACAAGATTCCCCACAGATGCACTGATCTAGGTGTTCCTGCTCCAGCACGGGGATTGGACTAGACGATCTTTCAAGGTCCCTTCCAATCTCTAACATTCTGTGATTCTGTGATACCTCTTAGGTATGTCAATACTAAATGTATGAGTGCTACTCAGCATGCATCTCATTCCATCAAGACACCATGGAAGAAAATCTGGATGAACAAACAATACACAAAACTCACACACAGTTTTGTTTTACACAGAGTAAGTTTGTGAACAATTCAGGAGTATCCACATGGATGAGGGAAGCAGGGCAATTACTGGGAAAAGGCTCATAACGCAGGATAAGAATGTCTTTGACACATTTCTTCCTGGTGTAACACTACTATCCTGACACTTCTAGCTTTTGTCCTCCACTTCTCACTGAAGCATAAAAGTTGGAAAATTTGTTGGTGCTCCTTCAGAGGCACCATGGCCACTTACCACCAAATATCACAAAGGTAATGCAGTCATATGTAATTTCTTACCAGTGTTCCTCACAGACCCCACTGTAAGGGCAGCCACCATCTTCAGCATCACAGCATTTAATTCCTTCTCAGTGCCTTCTTCCACACCAGGCAGATGGGTTCCAGCTGTCAGTGTATTAAAAGTCGCAACACAATTTTTAAGAAGACATGGTTAACTGTAGCTAAAATATATTAAACCAAAAAGGAAACTCAGTTATCCAGGAAATTCTGTTTTTCTCTTAAATATTATTTACAGACTACTTGAACCCTAAAATGAGCATCAAAATACAGACAGGGCATTGTCTAATCATCAGAGTCTAGTCTGGGATTGGGAAACACAGCTATGATAGTTCTGATTTTATGGTCTGCAGCCCAGATCTCCTGCATAGGCAATACAGGTAACAGTGGTGTTTCCACCTCCCAACTGATGTAGAGTCACCTGTTTAGTCATTCCTGGTGGGAACACATCCAAATAAAAGAACATTACAGATTGGGAGCTATGAAGTGGTAAAATACTATAGCAACAGGGAGTACTTAACCATCTAAACTAAACCTGAAGAGCAGAAACCCCCTGCATGTTCAAAGGCAAACATTTCCAGGATCAGACAGTGTAAAGCAGGTTAGTTTTTACATCTAAAAGTCTTGAAGTTTGCAGGCTAAATTTCTGGACACCAAACAAGGGAAAGAAAAAACAATGTCTTTCCGTCTGTCCCTCTTTATCTCTGTGTCTACATTTACAAATTACGTATCCATTCAATCACTCATTCTACAACATTTAGATCACCAGGTGATCTAAAGCAGTGAAATTAATGCAAAGATAAAAGCTTTATGCACCTATGTACCAGCTCATAACCAGAGCTTGGTTTTGGTATTCATCTTGACAATCCTTATCTAAGTACTCTTGTACAAAATTCTAGTTCTCTGATAGCAAGAATGCAAATCTAAGTGTCCTTGCAGGTAATTAGTGTCTGTAGTCTGGAACTTCTGTTGCAATTCATATTCCTTCTGTTGCTTGGAATAAATGTGTACAAATAATTCAATTGTGCTTGCTGCATCAGAAGTTATACCTAGTATTTTGGGTCCCTCCTCCTTTGCTGAACAACTGAACAACAATTGCACTGAAATTTAAAGGCATTTCCAAATACATACAGCACATGAACAGAAAATGTTATAATGCATTTTGCTTTCTTTAAAAAGTTCCTTAAGTCAGCTGTACCCCACAGTTACCACACCAGGACTATTAACTTCCTGTGTTCATAATAGGAGATAAGTATATCAGATGACAATGGCTGGTAGTAATTGCAGGTAATATATGGCCAACATTCAAGAAACTGCTTTCCATAATCAGTCCTCATGATTAAGTGTTATTTTCAGACGAACTAAGCACTGTGGAAAACTCTTTCTTCCTCTACTCTCAAGCTGGCACCCTAGAGAACCCCAAATTGAGATGTGTTTAAAAGTGTGGGCTGAACGGTACCCTCCAGAGTAATTCACCAGATGCTGGTGAAGAATAGCCCAGAACTGTTTAGGCTACTGAACAGAACTATAAACAGCTAAGATTTCAGAGAGAATCCAGCTTGGTATGTCACAAACTTAGGCCAGTTGGCTTGCAGACAAAATCTAGCTACTCAGTATATAAAATTTATAAATTTACCGCAGAAAGATTTATTCATTCCTGTGGATCTGCCAACTTTAACAGTCATTGTCAATGACATTAAATTGTACCTGACTTCCTCAGGATCTTGGCTTGTTTCCTCAAAAGTGCCAGCAGTAGGCCTAAGAGCCCAGAGTCACGGAATATGTCGCTGAATAACAGGTCCTTCTTGGTCATGCTGAGAAGGCACTGGAGAGCTGTTAAGGTGCAGAATGGCACTATGTTTTCCTTTATCAAATACTGAATCTTCTTCAAAATTTCATGGGGTACATAGGACAGGTCTAGCACTATGGACTCCACCAATCTGAAGAACTGGACTTGGATTGGGTGTGGTTTTAAATGGATTATGTCAGTGAACTGGTTGATCGGTTGTAGTGTCCATTCTAGAAGAAAGAAGTTTACTGTGTCCCAGGCCCATATGGTACCAATTGCTGCCAAGATTCTTCTACACAGGTGCTGATCATTACTTTTCTGGAAAATGGACTGCAACACCTGAAAAGCCTGGAGATTTTTCACTGTCATTCCTGTGGGACAAAACCAGGTGAGATTATTTTTACACCAGTGCTCTTTAAGACTGCAAGCACCATAACTATGACATTAAAACATGTCTGAGAGTGGAGATATAAGTCATGGACATGAGAAATGTGATTGGGAGGCATGTTCTCAACTTTGGATCAGACCCTACAGCTGACACAGTCAGTTCAGTCTGATGTAGGTAGCATTCAGGCTCCTGCAGCATTAAGCACATAGATCAGAAGATACCATCTCATACTCCGTCCTCCATCTTAAGACATGTAACGAATAGAGCTTCATTTTTCTATGACCTACCTATATAGTCACATATATATATATATACTGTACCAGAAGACCGTGTCCGTTCGAAATCAAAGTGTGGTAACTGGGGATGTACAATGTTGCCAGAAACTTTCAGTTCAGTTTTTCCACAGGTTGTAAGGCAAGTCAGTATGTCCAAGATCTCATCCAGATAGCGGTTTTCTTCATTTTGCTGCAACCCCTCACATCTAGGAACAAAACTTGGGACAGTCATACGTTCATGCCTTAGTAATACAAACATTTTGGATATATCCCCAGGTACTGAGCACACAGTAGCTACCCATTTTACTCCCCACTTCTCCCCAAGTCTATTTTACTGTCCTTTTGTCTTATTTCTGCAACTTGTTTAACCATCTTACAAACAGTAAATCCACACTACGGTGGCACACTCTGAATCAGAACAAAACTTACAAACTGAAGAAGAAAACTGAAGTGACACTGTAAGAGCATTCTGAAGAAAAGGAAGATAAATGTTGGAATTTAGTCAACCTATGTGTACTTTAAAAAAAAAGTCACTCTCTCTGAAATAATGCCTGTTTTGGACAGCAAAAATGTAAATTTTGTGAGAGATCAAAAATTAAAAAGAGATACTCCACATTAAAAGGCAGGCATACGGAGGCTTGCCAGGTAAGATAAATAACAAAAATCTCAGCCCTCGAAGAGAAAAATATTGTATGGTCTGAGCTTTGTGAATCAGACATGAAGATAGCATGTCTCTCCTATGTAAGGAAACAGTTTGAACTGTGACCCCAGATTTGCCATAGCTTAGACTGAAGAGAGAGTCTGCCAAAAGGCAAAGAGCTCCTTATCATGTAATCCTATTCTGTACTGCTTAGAGGGGTCAATTCTTAAGGTAAACTACAGCATCTGGGCATGGGTTATTGGCAGAGCAATAGACTGATACTAAAAGTTATGAAAATCTCAGAAGAAAACGAAACAAATATGTTCTGTTGTAATCTAAACAAGAATAAAGAAAGGACAGGACAAATGCTAGTATCCATTTTGTTGGGAAAGAATGTGATCAGCAAAATTCTTTTTACCTGAAAAGGAAACTCCAAACATCAGAGAAGGGGAAACCTAGCCACACAAAACATTTAGGAAAGAAGCTCTCTGTCTGCCCCTTTCTCCCAGTATATGCTGGGAAGGGAGACTAATCTGAAGCCCTGAACACCTGTATGCTACTTCTGTCTCTCCAGCCTAATTACATTAGTTAAAAATGACAAGGGCAGTCATAGCCCTTACTGATGAAGATCAGGTGTTGCTGCTGTTATATGGATAGAATTTCATCAGAAATACACATCTCAGCACAGCTTATTTATAAGGGAAAGCTAAACAATCTTTGATAGCTAAAAACACTGTCAGAAAAAGACAAAACTTTTTCCAATTGTAGGTTAATAAGTTTGTATCATCCAAAAATCATCAGAAACCACACCCACCTACAGATATCTTTGGATTCACGATTCAAATTACAATCCTCTAGATCGAAATTACAAAATACCACCCCTCAGTCTAACGGACTGGTCAGGGAACAAAGTTCTTGCAAGTGTTGGAGAAGTAGTACAAGAAAAGGCAAAGCAAGAATGGAAACAATAGATTGAGAAGATCTGGAAATGCTTTCTTCATATGACATTAAAGAAAACCAGAAGAAAGCTCCTAAGTGCTTCTGCGGAACTGGTATAACATACTGTTTTGACATAGCAAACTCAGACCCTGGTTAGACAATGCAAGGAGACAAGGAGAGCAAAAGATTCTACTTTGTATTTTTTATTAGGATAACTAGTGGGGATTTGTCCTGATATGCTCATACACGTCTCAGTTCTGAAGAACATAACCATTTCAGATATAAGTTTGGGTGGGGTTTTTTTGTTTGTTTTTTTGCACAGCAAGGACATCAGCTTTCCCTCTCTAGTTGACTGCATTCCTAGATCAAGAGTTAGCCTTAAGTGAGACAAATGTTTCAGACCTACATCCCCTCTAATACTAATTGATGAAGAACCTTTGTCTTGTGTTCAGTAAGTTCCTATCTCACCTGTAGACTAACTTCTTCTACTGTTAACTTCCATTATGGTTTCAGTAGAAGTTATGTACTGCTTCCCTTCCTGAAACAGCAATAAAAGACCCATTGTTGGGGTCTTTATTACTGGCTTTGTCTCCACACAGGATTATCTACATGATTCATATTTTAAAACAGACCACCACGCATTCTGAAAATGAAGCTTTACTTTAAAAAGCTCACTAAAAGCCTCTCTACTTACCTGAGTAAAATTTTTAGCAGGAGTTGGTAGCCATCATTATTTTCAAACTCTGTTAATAAAGCTGATGATACGAGATAGGAATCTTTCACAAAGCACAAGACAATACTAGCAGCTTCACACACATCACAAGCAGGTAGAGTATCAGCCAGTTTAAAAAGACCCTGAATAGCTATTTTAATGCAGTCCATAGCTGTGGGGAAAAAAACAAAAACAAAACCCACAGGTATTTAAGAACAGACTGTCAAACAAGTTCAAATTTACCAACAAAAAATGGAACAAGTCTGAAGAGTTATTCCCCAGTAAAACAAGAGTCAGTTAACTCTTTCCAGAAAGAAGAGACAAGAGGATATATAAACATCACGCTCATCTCAGAGGCTACATGAAGAAGATTTCTGGTTTTAAAGTATGCATGCGTTTCTTTGCCTAACTCCCCGGAAGCTGATTCAGTCTCAGGAGTATAAACTTCAACCCATCCACTCATCAAAATTCATATACAGTGAATTCAGCTGTCTGAGTAGAAGGTAATTGGAGGCTGACATATTTAATTGTCTTGTACTAAGTCAATTACACATTCTGTGCAGACCTCACAAATTCGTTCTTTGCTCAATAAGGCATACGTAACGTGGTATACACCTCTTGCTCTAAGCAATAAAGCCTAGCTTTCTTGTCTAATCTGATGGCCAGTCCTTCCAGTACAGCTTCAAAATGTCTAAACAGTTCAGTACTCTTAGGACTATTATTCCTCAGTCTTTCAGTCTCACCCAGGAAGCCAAGTTTTTACTTCAAAAAATGAAAATACCTACATGCAGTTACTCCATAACAAGAAATACTGACAGTAAAGTGTGGACTATAAAACTATTTTTTTTCCTTTTAAGAAATTGAGACTTGTGGCCTTTGCACTTCTCAACAATAAAAAATTTGCTTACTCTAATAAAGCCTAGGAAGAAATGAAGATATAAGTCAACTAATCATGATGTTGTCCCAAAAAATACTGCTCCTCTGGCAGTGCCCTCAACCTTGTATTTAGGGTGTGAATGAGCCTTAGACTCACACACAGAGTCACACAGATTAAAAAAAAAAACACAACATCTTGTCCTTTCCTACATTAGTGTGATCAAGTGGGATTGGCTCATGCCTGTAATTTTACTTTTTGTGTAGAAAAAACTTCAGTTTCCACATAGCTATCAGTACTAAATAAAGCTCCTGCCTAGGGTGCCTAGAACCCATGCTTAGCAGTTGACTGACTACCAGATGATGTAGACATAAAAATCTATCACAGCAAGACTCTTCTTGAGAATTCATTCTCAGTGGAGCTATGAGGAAAGGAGAAGCCAAATTACTAAGCCAAACCTTGCAGGTACACAATGCTGTTTTTGGTCTGAGCCTTTGAAATTGTTCTCAGCACACGGCCCGTAGGTACTTTCCACGAGTGGCTACACTGGTCCCAGAGAGAAGCAGTTGCTATAATTAATGACTGAAGCTTATCAGCTGCCAGAAGTTCCTCTACACCTTGTTCCTCTCTGTACATGTTAAGCATTATCTGAAAAGCAAACAAATGTCAGCTACAATAAACACCTCTACAAATACCTGGGAGACACAGAAAAAATCCATTGAGGGGAAGCGGGGCAGATGTAGTTTGACAGTACTGCCAGGAGAAAGGATTCAGTGAAATGAACAAATAAAACTACCACTAGGATATTCTTAATAGATTTTTTTCCCCATTTACAAAGTCATGTTGTTTTGTCTAACAAAACCAAAAAGATATAGCAGCATCATCTCAGATAGTTTTATACTGCTCCTGATGCTTGTTCAATGGTTTTCAAATTTACTCCTGTTTTTAGCAGTTTGAATCAATCACTGGCTAAAAGTCTACCTGAAAGTCTGAATACTCAGCGCAAACGAACTCCCAAAGACACATCTCACCTTAACAAGCATTTCCTGAGTTTCAGTGTCATCATCACTTGTCTCTCCATCATCACTGGTTTTCTTTGGAGGAAAAGTAAAGAAAAGGTACAGGCACTGCATCAGAGCAGCTGGAAGGCCAGATCCAATGATGTTCCACATAGTTCTCTAAGTAAGGAAAATAAAAATCAGCCACTCCAGAAGCTGACCACAGTTTCCTTGTGTTTCTACACACTCAGTGTAGTGATGGCAGATGAAAGAGCTACTTGAGCATTTTATCTTTAAGTGCTCTGGGGCACCTAAGTGTGCCAATCACATAGCATGGCTGTACAAATTCACTTGGCAGAAGTAAACACACTGACCATGTGTTGCCATAGCTGTTCCCAGAACTTCCCACTCCAGCTGAACTACAGCTTTGACATAGATACTTACTACGTCCTGCCTAACGAGACCTACAGTTGATAAAGCACATAACCTGCAAACTAACTAGCAGCTAAAACAGCAGTCAGTCCAGGGGCAGACTGCCCTCTTTATCATTAGTTCACAGGACACCCTGCAACTATAGAGGGCTGGTATGTTAAAAGCATGAATTCTCCATTTCCTCTTTGACTCAGCATAGCAGCAATCCAGCTGTAACGCCTTTGCTTTTGTAACATATTGAATAACTGCACACACACTTCTAATTATAGCTTTTATAAATGCAAGAGACACTGTTTCTCAACAGTTTCTTCCCATCTTCACTATGGTTGTGTACCACTTACAAAGAAGTCCCATTGTGCCTGCTTGGCATGCAAAAATGAAAATAAAAATCAGCAGCAAATTAAATGGAAGACTTAAGTTTGTGATTTGCAGTTATGCAAGTAATGTCTTATATCTGTAAAAAACACAAAACCTCATCTGGAACTGCAGGCTGTGGCTAACTATATATAATTTATAGAGCTCCTTATGACACAGAACATGTCCACTAGAAGCTGACAGTAAGATTTTATTTTCATGTATCTGAATAAGGATGAGACAAACTGCTCTGCTCAATGTCAAGTATAAATGCACCCATCAGCAGGCTGTACTGCTGATACCAGTCTGCATTCAGGATGGCTGTGGAAGTAGAGTTTGTGAAATGCTTTGAAATGCTTCTAAGTGAGAGGCAATCGGGATGGAAAATCCAGCCACTGCATTATTAGACAGACAGATCCTTACTAGTCATCTTTTTGGCATATAAGCTGGAGTGACAAAAAAAGATTGAAGAGCAGTGATGCACAATGGGGAAAAAAAACCCCAACAAATCAGAGAAATGCTACAAAAAAACAGCTGCTTAATGATAAAAAAAAAAAAAAAAAAAAAGGTATCTGAAATCACAGAGCATTTATTTCCATCTTTCAGAAAAGCCTGGACTATAAACCTGGTTATGTGTCCTCTACCTGACTGTATACCCTGTGTATGCTGAAGCACAAAGCATTATGTGACTTAGGTGTTCCACTGTTGGGGTGGCTACCCAGCTTCTCTGAAATAAAAATGAAAAAACAAAACAAAACAAGAAAAAACCCTTTGTAGTAATTTCTCTTACCACATCAGTCTGTGAGAGCAGATACACTGATTTCAGGAGCAAACAGCCATCTTCTGCTTCCCCTTTCTGTTGCAAAAATTGCTCCAAAGCTAGACGAGCTTCCTCTGTTACCACAAACACATTAAACTTTTATTCCTTAACAAAAGATGAAAATGCTGCATTGATCCTTTCTTAACAGATCTAACAAATTTAACAAAATTACAACAACAGGAGTCCACAGAATTAAACAGAAGGTCATAAAAGGATTTTGATGCAGCACCAGGTTCAGGTCAGCTTATGTAAACTACATGTTTCAAACTGATAAGCTTCACTGGAAATACCAACACAGTTCACAAAGTCTGCTGGCTGACCAGTGTGAAGAATGTACAACAGCCACCAGGAAAGCCATATGTGGTTAGCAGTATTTTTCTCATTAAAGAGAGCTCCTCAGAATAGCGTGTAGCCTGATCTTTTACTGCATAGATGCAGTATTATACATTTGCAGCTATAAAAGTTCCAAAACCAAGGTCAGCACAGCATACAAGGCCAGATCTTCAGTGCAATCATCCAAAACCAGTGCTATCTCACAGCTACTAAAAGATCTGGCTTGCTGGACTTAGTATTTTCATGTTCCCCCTTATTTCCCTCATGGTAAGCACAGAGGACAGCTGAAAGACAGCACATTCCCAGAATAAGTGGATCGAGTGGATATGGTATGGGATCATTACCTGCAGGTTTGCCATTGAGGATCCTCTTAATTTCTTTTGCCAGAAGCTTGGAAACCTCACTGGCTAACAGCTGGATGTTGGGGAATACGATTACACCAGCAGACTGCTCCCAGGCCTGAAATCCAAGCATAACTTTTAAGTCTTTCTGATACAGCATATATTTGGTATATTGAGAAGTACTAATAAATATAAATAAACAAACAAAAAGCTAACATTACCCTGCAAAATTCCCTCCCCAGCCAGTGCAGTCCATTAAGCAGTATTTGCCAGACAGGCAGGAGCCTGACACTACAGATACAGATGCCAACCTGGCACTACCTCTCGAATCACATAATGCACCTACTAGAGATCACTTATTTTTTTTCCATTGAATACAATCAAAAAAATGTAAATGTTCATCATAGCTGCTGTGTCATTTATTATTTGTATCAAAAAGCATGCTAGTCCCTTTCAAAATACAACATGAACACCCTGTAGCCTGAAGAGGTTATAGCTGAAGTTGTCTAAGAACTTTTCAGTAAAAGTATATCCTTCGCCAAAAACTGGTCTTCCCAAAACTAAAGTTAGTCATAAGCAAAACCTGAGCTTTCAATGGAGTAAAAAATAAAAATAAAAGATGTAGTTTCTCTGTTCAGCAAATCATTGCACAGTCTCAGCTACTTAAGAGACTGAAATGGCATTGGAACTGCTGCTCTCATGGAGTATTTGCAACAGATCTGTCAAAAAGAAACCATGGTAATACAGGACTACTGCTCTCAAGTGGCAGTATACGGGCCAAGATTCTCCTGAAAAAGAAATATTTATTTCCAGTCAATAAATTCCTAAAAATCACAAAATGACCAAACAAGCAAAATCATTTGGATTTGTTTTTTGTTGTTGTTGTCTGGGGTTGTTGTTTTTTTTTGTTGTTGTTCTTTTAAATACATTCATAGAGCTTCTGCTTTTCAATTCTACTTTATTTTGGGAGGAAAGTAAGGCTCATAAAATCAACATTTCTTGCTGGACAGAAACAATCTTTGTTACAAACTAAGGAAATAAAAGAAAACATGGGGAAGGGAGCTGAAAAACCAGTAATATTCTATCTGAAAAGGCACTGGCTGTGATTTTGCAGCAATATGAGTTGCCTAACCAATGTGCCCATAGGGTTAAGGTGTAGGCTGCCAGGCCTGGAGTGACAACCCTTCCTGGCTAGGAATTTACAACATTACAAGCCAGCTTACATCATGAGTATGGATCAGTGCTAATACAGGAAAAGCCACACTTCCGAAATGCTGAGATGATGACAGTAAATGTTTACCAGATCAGGATTTCTAAACATTTCCTATACCATAATAGGAAATTAGCACCCCTAAATAGGAAGGAATAGTCCTAATGCATAGCTAGCCAAGGAAAATAAATTTATAGACAAGTTTATAAACAATTTATAAATGAGGTTTTAAATTACTTGTTCAAGAATGGACAAGCAATTCAATGCAAAACTGACAAGAGGAACAACAGCAAGACTTAATGGTTCCCTGCTCTGAGTCTCAGAAAACCCTCTCAAATGTTTCTTAGCCTTGACTTTGGGGGAAAAAAAACATTCAAAAGGAATAAAAAATATTCCAGTAGACTAATACTATCACACCCAACTGGCCTGAACATCAGGTACCTTTACTTTTGTATAGAACATCCAATGCTACACACATCAATGTATCAACAGTAGTGCAGCACTCACCCCTAACTAGCAGGCTGAGACACCTCTATTCCCAGCAACCTTGAAAATTTTCTTTACAAAAGTCTCCTCCTTCTAAAAGCTCAGAAAAGTCAAGCTGTAAGGCCATAAGATGAAAGGAAGGTAACAAAATAATAAGACATCTATTCTCCCAAAATAATTTGGAGCAGATACCCCATAATACTGTCTGCCAAGAAATCAGTGCAAGCCTTTGTGAAAGCAGATCCTCTACAATCATTATTTCCTTTCCTAACTTTGCTTTTAATTACTTGCTCTTTCTTTGCTGATGGCAGCTCATGGACAAGCTATTTCTTTCAAAGGGCCAGTCATCTGTTGGCAATCAGGCAAGCACCTGCTTTTTACTTCATTTTATCGCATTGACCTCTGGAACATCACTCAACTCTCTTCTGGGCTACAAAAGAGTGAAATGTAATCATACAGTGTGCCTACCAATTAATTTTCAATCAATCAATTATATTTAAAAATAAAACAAGCTTTTTTTTTTCAGATTTTGACCATAAATGATTTTCAGAGACCCTCAGCTGCAGGAGCAAGATCCACTGATTCCTCCACTTCTGATGCAGAAACAAGGGAAAATCTGAAAACAGAGGCAAGCTGGGCAAACACAATGACAAGAAACTCACAGCCACTTAAGAATATACAAGATTAGTCGTTAAGCTATACCCTTTTTCAGAAGAAAGCAGTGGTAGATTCCTGCCTCTCTGTCTCGAAGTGGAACACCCTCTGAACACTTCAAAAAAGACTTCTTATAATCACTATTCTGCTAACAAAAAGAACAGGATAAATTTTAGAAGTTCAGACCATACGCAGCAGAGAGCAGTAATTAAAGGCTCATAGCAATGTACCATTCTGCGAAAATTTAGATAGTCCATCTCACTACAAACTAGGCCGCTAATATTCTGATTTGATTTTATAGGTGATCTTCCTGTGGGTCAGACACAAACCTATAGAATATGCTCTACATTAAAAACAAAACTAATCAGTTCCATATTCATCTTTGAACCTACAAAAGCGCTGTACCTGGAAGAATATCAACCGGACTCCAATCCAGGATATCTGCCTTTAGGGGAAACTCAAATACGGTATCAACGTAAGATGATTTTCTTTCTTCCTTTTAAGCCTGTTTCCACATGGTTAAGACTCTGCCACAAGTTCCCTGTGTCTGCTGCTGCCATCTGTCCTTCCTATTTCATACTTCATGGAGAGATGCTAGCTCAAAAGCCAGCCATGAAACAGAACATTCTGATATGTTCTGAGGCACCAAGAGGGAAGACACAGAGGGCACATTAAAACAACTCCCAGCTTAGGCCTGAATCACAAGCAGATAGATAACATTTTCCTCCTACACCTTTTCCTTCACCATCAAGGAGTATCAGTAAGTAATGAGCTCCCACACCACAGGTGGCTCCTGGTTAGCAGCCTCTCTCTTCAGCCAAATGAGTAGGAGCTAAAGCACTCTAAGACAAAAAAACAGAGATGCACTTGTATCTATATGATCAAGCAAGGAAAGGAAGAGCAAGAGATGAAAATCCTCCAAGGAGCTAGAGGACTTATGCAGAGTCCCCTGTTAAACAGGAGGAAGTGAGGTTTCTGTAAGAACTTCATAACATGTACAACTCAACTGAGATGAATTTCCCCAAGCCAGCCCACAGGTTTAGCACAGAGCAGAAGGCTGGTACATGAAAGGAGCAAAAGTTGCATGGGGAAGGACATGATGACTCAACCCCTTCAACTAAGGGCCAGATTCTCCACAATGTACCCCTAAATAAATGATGCAAGGCCAAAATGCTCTAGCCACACATCTGAACCCAAATGCCAACAAAGTGCTGCAAAGCTCCATTGATACATCTAAGAAAACTGAAGGGCACAAAAATCAAGTGTTGAGCTAATGAGAAATTCACGTCTCCATTCTGAATATATTCTGTAGCCAAAATATCCTTTAGGAATTTTAAATCCCCTCTTTGCAAGCATTACTGCAATTCAGGAAATCACTGTCTACAACCTTAAAGCATGTGAAGTTCATCCCTACAGAAGGGAAACACTTGATTAACATGTATATGCACAACATGCCAGTCTCTTAGCAATACTCAGCTTGTGTCCTGGGGAATAGCTGTCCTTTGATGCACTGGTACTAAAGTTTATTTCTGATATGTCATGACAAATAAGCAATTTCCTGCTTTCCTGTCCAACTTTTAATTCCTACGACTTCTGTTTTATAGCTTTTGTCACCTTTGCTCAATAACAAAAACTTTCTCAGTCCTTTGAAAGTTTCACTCCAAAAAATGACTGTAGGGCCATTTAGATGAAATGAAATGGCTGCTTCTGAGACGTCAGGCTATACGCTCACTGCCTTTTCAGACCCCTCCATCCATTTTGTCTGCACTGCCTTGGACCATGGCAAGCTTGCACTCAAAGTCAGCAAACTCTTCACCATAGGCATCACTAGATCCTACTTGCAACTCAGCTGTTTGCATCACACTGACACCAGTTAGTGACTTGTTTCAGTGCTGTTAACTGATACCAGCATATACAACAAAGTCCTGCTCTGCACTAGGACTTGGAAGCTTCAGAGGTTCATACTCCATCCAGCTGAGTGAAATGTTTATGACTGTCTGGAAGTTGTTCCTGCTTTTCTGTGGACACTAAAGATTTTACAGCCATGTGCATAGTGATTTCCCTGCACACACAGTTCAAAATGTTCCTCTCACGACAGAGTATCACTTTTTATGTCCCACAGTGCTTCCATACAAACAGAGTGACCATATAATTAACATTTTTTCTTCTCACCTACCCACTTACTTCTTTTTAGAAAACCATCTCAGCCAGGCAGGGAAGAGATGGATCTGATTTCGGTCACTCAAGAACACCGAAAACTCACAAGTACAGATAGCCGAAATATGCCATCATTAAAATATGGTTTCACCAAGAAGCAGCTTGTATTTTCTTTCTGAAAGACTTACATAGTGAGAAAGTGTATAAACAGATTCCATACCCATAAATACCCAACATCATTCAAGAGAAAAACAATTCTTCTGTATTACAACATGGCCACAGTATATTTAAAGATAGGCCACGTTTTCTACTCCTCTCAGTATTAAGCTCTGCCATTCTATCACTGTATGGTCCACTCAAACAGTTCCCAGTATGTTTCACACACTCTAGCAACTAAAATCAGTCCATAAGGCTCCCATTCATTACAGAGCTCTTCCAGTTTCACCGTTCAATACGGCCACCTCAGAAGCTGTTGGCTGATGGAAGCTCTAGGGCATGGGGTAGGGCAGCCTGCTAATCAAAATGTTCTAGTTCTCAGCTGTGTCCCTTGCCCACAGTACAACCTTCCTCTCCTCATGCTACAGTTTCCCCATCTATAACACAATTCCCCTCTCAAGCACTAAAATTAGATGTCAGCACTGTCATTAACCCAAATATTCCACTTTAAGACTGTGCCGCTACATCTCCCCTAGCTCGCTGCATGCCACACCACATTTTCCCAGACTGAACTGTGCTCAGTCCCCCACTAAGTAATAAAATAGATGAGGCAGGCATGAAGTAACTACTTCACAGAGTACTCACTTTGAAACATGCCTGTCTCACCAACATATCCCTTGACTCCAAGAATAGAATTTAGCCATTCATGAAATTAAAGCAGTGCTCTCCCATATACTTTCCTCATGCTAACATAGTAGGTAGGTCAGATGAAAGGACAAGAAACTGTTTCCTCAAACTCCCAATGCAATAAAGGTAATTATCACCTAGACAAAGACATCATGCTCCAATTCACTCCACTGGCTGTTAGGGTGACCACAGAACGCATGGAGCAACAGAAACTCCAAGTTACATCCTTGGTATCTGCACCAAAGGCAACAAGGGGCACGTACCTTTAAAAAGAGGGGAAGAAAGTCCAGCAGCCTTCTCTGTTGCTCCTCTGGGACAAGAAACGGAGCCACCTGCTCATACTCTATAAACTGTCTGTTTACAGTCTCCCACTGGAGGGTATGGCTCTGGGGTGACTTGTCCTTGCTGTGTGCAGGCTGTCCAGGCACTTCTGTTTTGTCTCCATCATCAGGGCTTTGCTCTTGCTGCCCTGCTTTGCCAGGTGAATCCTCCAGCTGCCACGTGAGTTCAGCTGCTTTGTCCATGCTGAAATAAGACCTGGAGTTAAAAGATATTGTGTTATTTACTGTTAGGATCATCTCTTACCAGTCAACCCGTGAAACTAGACAGTGAAAGTCTCAGCTATTGGAGTTGGGGAGTTTAGAAGCATGGAAACACTGGCAGCCACTGACACTTTTGCCAGTGATGGCAAAGCACTCTGCTCCTGGACAAAAGCAGCACCATCTTGCAATCACATGAACAAGCTCTTGCACGTGAGACGTCTGCATGTGCACACAACTCATCTGGGCTTTGGCAGGACAAACTGGTAAACCACGCAGGAGATCTAGATTCCAGACCCAGCTTTGCCACTGAGCCAGATCCTCTCCCTATACTTCACTCACTTCAATTGTAAAACAAGTCATAATCATCATCAGATCTGCAACAGAAGAGCACTACCCAAGGGCCAGGTGACATGCTTCATTGACTATGGACGCTAAACTAAGCTGCACATCTCTGATGCATTCCCCATCTAGAGGGGGGCTGAAGCACTGGCTGGAATTGGAGCTGTGTGAAAAAGTCAAGGAATCCCCACACGGGTGTATAGGTCTAAACAGGCAGCAATATTCCACTCTTCTATCCTGCAGATGTACACCTGTGTATAAGAGCTAGGTATTTTCACTACAACATTACCTGTTTTGCTGATCCTGTAAACTGAAATGGATGTACCTCAACAAAGGAGTGAGGTGCTTCTAGCACCCTCACTTCCATCAAAATGAGCCTACAATGGGTCCATCTTGAACTACAGGTAGAAAAATCCTTCTAGTACCCTCATCTCAGCCCTGAGTCCTCTTATCTATTTTACAGCCTTGTTTTCATCCATAGTCTTCTGGGAGGTCACTGACACAGCCTTAAATCCACAGCAACTCTACTCCTTTGTCATAGTTTTCTGTGAGCTCACCTGCTACCTAGAGCCTACATAATGACGACACTTATGCCAGTGGAAATCAGGCTTCTCCAGTTTCCATCAAAATCAGCCATATGCTTACTGGTGTTTAGGACATCATGTGACTACTCAAAATATGACACATAAATTATTATAATATGGGCAGGCAGCTTCGGAGTTGCCACCAAGATGAATGTAGCTCATCGCTTTACTTACCAAATATACTGTATTTTAAGAGCCTAGAAGAATCTTCAATGCATCATTACACCCCCTCAAAGAAAAACACCAATGTACCTCCATTTCTATGAAATAGGTTCCTTCTCTACACTGTCTTTTTGATTACCATTCTAGTTTGTCAATAAAAATGCCAAAAAGAAAATGTAACTAAAAACCTGAGTCAGATCTCCTGCACTACCAATACGTATACCCTTTAAAATAAATTTTTAGAAAGGCTGTTATGGGCCTGGTTTAGAAATTATGAGCCAACATTAATACTACATTTGAGATTCTCTTCCTTCACCATCCATCAGTTATGCATCTTGCTTACTGCTTGCATTCTGCCCACTCCAAGCCAGATGAACGAGTTTCACGTCCACACTCATGCAGTAGCCCCATACTGCAGAGATGAAGAGGGTGACATTATCTTGTCACTGTGCACCACACCACCTGCAGCAAGCTTATGGTCCCAGCAAACACCTACGCTTGGATGCAAATACTGATCCTTCACACTACAGCAGAGGGTAACTTCCCCTACCACAACCCATACTCTGAATCTCGCTAGGAGATGGAGGGCTAGAAAATTTTGATCAGTCTCCAAGGATGTCAATCTGGAACTTCCACCCTCAACAACATTTTGTGTTTTGCTGCTGTTGTTTTCCTTAATTATCTGTGTTAAGACAACACAGCCCTGTGAGCAGAAAAAGTGTGATGACTGCCTGCACAGAGGAAACAGGAAGACTGTTCCTCATGACTGCGTGGGAGTTACATTTGTCATACATTACACTTAACGCTGGTACGGGATTTCAGCCCACTTGAGTCATTGTGAAGCTGTACAGTACGTTGACAAAGCCTGGGTACTGTTCTAGGGGCTTCAATGAGCATAGTTCGGAGTTACTTTTTCAATGAGGCTGCTTTCACATCCCAGATGGCACCATTCTCTTCCTAAGGGAAATCTCTCACCTTGGAAGCTACTCTGCTAAGCCTAAATGAATGCTAAGTACAAGTAGCTCAGTCCCAGTGCCTACATTCAGCTTGGTCAGCACAAAATCCTTTACAGAGGCATTTTACAGAGGGTGAAATCAAGGCATGGCAAGGTGAAATGCAGTGCTTATGCTGGCCTCAGAAGGTCAGTGACTGACCAACTAACGGCACTGCTTGAACTGCACTGCACTGAATGACACTACAAATGTGTTTACCAATCTTCTCTCTCTCTTTATTAACAATTTACATAGCAGGTTTTTCTGGCTGGTGGCACAGCTGAAGCAAGCACGGCTGGACACTCAAAAAAATTCTCACATTATGAATCTATATAATGAAAGAATTCTTCCCCTCTCCACAGAAACTGTTAAAACTGGATATGCACATACAACTCTGTTATTGAAGACCTAACTGTAACAGACCATGTAAGATATCTGAGTATACATGGAAATCTTTAATCTCCGGAAGCACATGAAAGCAAAACAAGGATTATGATTTGCCTCCTTATTTACTCAATCTAGACTACAAGAGGCATATTAGACTAAATATCAGTCCTCTAGTATTAGTCTGTTGTCTCCACTTGCACCATGTGCTTTAAATATTCATTTTCTAATAGCCTTTTCTTGTGTCTACAATTTGGACTTCTAAATCCATTGTGTTTTCTATTCCTCTTGGAGGATAATTATTGTTCTAGACCAATCACAGTATCACAGGGTCCAGCATTCAAGTATCTTTGGTATTAAGAATAGCTTAGATATTTTGAAAAGGTCTTATATGTTGGCTCTCCACTACATGCCACCATTTGTCCTGATCCTCAGTGTAAATTAATGGCTTATTTCAGTTTTGATAAGTTATAAGTATCACAATGATGCAAAAAGTCTAAATAAAAGATTTCAAAATACATGAAAGTGAAAATATATCAAATAAACCTGACACTATCATTCAGAAAGTGGTGTCAGATAACAGTGAGGAAGTGGAACTTATTCACGTATTTTCCCTTCTGTTCTAAATGAAGCTTCTGTGAAAGCGCACTGCAATGTGGGAACACCTTTAAGGACTGGTAAGACAAAAGGGAAGAAAGGCATGACAAAAGCTGGCAGAAGGACAGGCAGAATGTTGATAATAAAACCTTACTGCTTGAACAAGCATGATTTTTAAAATTACATTTTAATTATATTTATCTGGGATTAACTCCCCCAGCAGTCCAAAGAATGATCCCATACAACAACAAAACCCCAATTTTCACCAAGATCAAGAAGTTTATTTATATTAAAAACCTTTTATTATCAGAGAAGGGTCTCATAGCAAGATGGTTGACCAAAACACAATCAGGTCTCATTTAAAATTTCAGAGTTTGGTCTTCTTTTTATGGTAAGTATCTCCAAAAATGTCGGATATTTGAGTGTACATGGAAATCTTTTATCTCTGAAAGTATATGAAAGCATAATGATGACTACAATTTGCCTCCTTATTTACTCTAACTGTCCAGGTGACAAGAAGCATATTGAAATAAATATCACACCGCAGTACTAGAACCACCTGCTTTAAACATTCCTTCTCTTAATAGCCTTTTCTTGACTATTAAAACACAGGATTCTGGTGACTATCTGAAAAAACATGGCTCCCAGTATTCCAAAAACCCACTCTCTGATACGTCTTTATAATCCCTTCCTCTCCTTGTCAGCCAAGATAAATCTGTTCATTAAACAGTAATGCCAAACAATCATTTTAAATGCTAAAAACAGGGATTCCACTACCTCCCCAAAAAGCTCTCTTATGGCATAACAGACCCAAGCTGAAGAAGGCATCACTTGTTTCTTTCATGAACCTTCTCTCACAAATTCTAATTCTCTCCCAATTCAATCACTAGCTCCCTCTTTGTGGCTCACACCACTCTGTGCTCACAGGCAATGACACTACCTCAGAATGAACACTGTGCCAGATGCTGTGTATTTACTACTCTCCTACCTCTGCCTGCCTAATCACCTTGGTTCTTCCTCCCTGAGCTCCCTCCTCCTTTCCTAAATTATCTACACCTATCAGTTCTATCTCTAGTGATCATACTTGACATATTTCATGAGGCAAACCTAAAAACACCACCAAAAATATTTACACTTTGATGTCACTCTATTTATCCTCCCCAATATGAAGACTTCAGTGAATCAAAACAAGTTGCAAAATTCAATATCCTACCCATTCTTGCCAGGTCCATTTAATTGTAAATTCTATGGGGTAAGTATATTCTCTTCCTAAGTTTTGACACAGTGCTTTACACAATAGGAGCCTAACCTGGCTGGTGTTTTGAAATACAAATAGCTAACAAAATACAAATGACACAGAGACACAGAATGTTTAGAACACTTGTCAGCTTAGAGAAGGTTGAATACTGTTCAAAGAACAAGTCCCATTTCAGTAGGATGTGTCCCTGTTTTTTCAGCAATATAATTTCAGCTGGTTTCAAGGTGTGACACTATTACTACCAAATGAATTGGATACATTTACACTAGGATTTATTTGTCCAAGCATAATTTTACTTTTGAGTACATTTAAGTCAGACAAGCCATTTCTGCAGTACAACTTCATAAATCATTAATTCAGTTTCTAACACTTAACCGCATTTCTTTTTTTTTGTTGTTGTTTGTTTGTTTTGTTGTTTTGTTTGAAGAGCATCTCCATGCAATCCAAAATAAGCTATAAAACTGACAGGCTCTCCCTCATGTACCCATTCATAATTTTTTTCTGTTTTAAAAAGTAGCATCTAAATATCTAATTAGGAACAGTTTCTTCTCTGACTTGCATACACCCCTACTGCAGCCAAGAGAGAAGCAGAGATATTGGGTATACTTGCTTTCGATATGTGGTCCTCCTGGAATTGAACTACTGCCACCATCTCAAGACCAAACA